ACAAGGACTTTTGTAATTGCTCTGTGTGATGTAAGCATTTGTAAGGCAGCAGCAGAAACACAGAGTTCAGCTCAGTTTGCCTCTTCGTCAAGGAAAGCGATAACCCCCCAACTTAACCTGCAGCGTGACTCACTGGTCTTCCTCTTCGCCTTCTCTCTGTCTTGGCTCTGAGGCACCTGGCACACTCCAAGCTTTGATCAAAACACATGAAACACAGCTTGTGCTTCAGATGTTTCAGCCCGTTGCTACGCCGCGTGAGCTTTTCTCTCACAGCCTCGCTCGGAAATAAAGACACGCCGAAGCCTAGAAGGCGTTCATGACCCGTTCCTCAGTCCATCTCTCTGTGGATTAAGTCCATATTCTCATTTGCACTTGAAAGAAAGTAATCCTCCTTCTTTCTGTCATGAAATGGACAGAATAAGACGATGAGAGCTGTCAGCCCTTCTCCTGAGCAGGATCCTCCGCACATGAGTACTGTTGATTACTTCTCTGGTTTTCCACCATCATCCATGTCTGACGAGTGTCTCGTGTCACAAAGGCTTTAATGTTTCCTCTTGCTCTATCAACTTATTCTTTACTTTCAAAAAAAAAAAATACTCCTAACCTTTAAGTGGTGCCGATTTCCAACCCTTTTCTTCCTAATCTCAGCACTGAAAGTGAACAAAAGAGGAAAAGTTTCTGCAGTTAAGTGGAGGCGAAACACCGACGAAACACCAAAATTTGCCCTCAGTTACACTTCCACTGTTGCAAGACAAATGATGTAGCTGTCTAATGGCGCATCGTAATCTCTGTGATATATTAGCTCCATGCGTATGCTTAACGAGGTCCTTCAGTGGTAAAAGTAAGCTAATTAAGCAAACATATTTCTAGCTATTATAAAGGAAAACAACAAATGGGTAGAAACATATGGCGAGCGTGATGTTTCTGCCATATACTGTCATGTTGAGAAGAGTTTTTACATACACTCATTACAATATACTGGTTTCTTCATCTGCTTCACTGTTAGATTATATTACTGTAGGTGTGTTGCTTATCAATCAAAAACTGTTACCAGGAAAAATAATCAGTGACAGTTGAGGGGTTCACTGCCAAAGTGGGCCAAACCACAACCACTTTTTTTGATAAGTGTTTATGGTCTACTAGTTCATGGCAAAGTGGTCCAACCAACAGCCCACTAGTAATGCCACAATGCAACTTTGAAGTTTGGCCCATAATGGTTTGGGCATGAACATTTAGTGGCAAACTGGGCCAAGCCACTGGAATTGCTGAAGTTTATATTGCAGGTAGTTGCATGTGTTTGCGATTCAAGATGGCGGACGATGGCGACCTCAAGCCCCATGAAAACTCAACTCGTAGGTACGGTAAGGTCAAATAAAAGCTTAATTAACCACCACCAGGCATCTATTTTTACCCCGTGGTGCTCAAAGGTATCCCTACTTCCTTATGATGACCCATGTAAACTATTCAATGCTGTTCAGCAAGACAAACTTTGAATCAGTTTTTGTCTCAAAAAGTAGACAATGTGGTACGATCCGCTTGGGCACTCCACAAAAGGAAAGGCAAAATTAAAACTTAAATCATCAGAAAGTAGCTGTTTCTATCTCTGGAAAGGGTTGAATCATATTTGAATGCATATAGTGACTCCTCCAACAACCATGATGTTTTTTAGCGACACTAAATTTTGACCCCATTTTTCTCAAAAACTAGTAAATGTGGTTTGGCCCACTTTGGCCCCAACCCCCTCGGTTAGTTTAGAGAGCAGGACAAGTCCAGATGTATCAAATATTTTTCTTACTTTCTTTCTTTCCTCTCATCAATAAAAAGAGCATAACTTGTATAGCTAAGTGGACTCTGCCTGGTTGTTCTAGGAAATTATTTTAAATGTTATTTCAAAATTAAAATGTATATTTAATAAGGTTTATTAAGATAATACATATAATAAGCTGTATGTGGTTAAGGGGGAGATTAATAATGGAGTATATTGTTAATTTTATTTCTAACTTTTATAGAAATATTAGAGATTTCTAAACATAGTTAGAAACTTAAAAAGATTCACTTTTATTCCTTTACAGGAAATAGTCTGGATTTTAATTAAAAAAATCATAATATGCAATTTAAATTAGCATTGATAGTTTATTTATTTATTTGGCATGATGGGACAAATATTCCATTCTAACTTTTCAGCATGTTGTAGTTCAACTAGACTTCCTCTTGGTTCTGTTTTCAGGCTTTAGTGAAGTTATAATCCATGACAGGAAACCTGGGGCAGCAAAGTACTCGGTGGCTAGCACCATCGCCTCGCAGCTAGAAGATCCGCGGTTCGCGTCCCAGTTACGACACCTCTTTCTGCATGGAGTTTGCATGTTCTCTCCAGGTTCTCCGGCTTCCTCCCACAGTCCAAAAACATGCTGAGGTTAATTGGTGATTCTAAATTGTCCGTAGGTGTGAATGTGAGTGTGCTTGGCACGATGTGAGGGTTTGTCGCTGTTGGGAAACTCCTTTATTTCATTTGATCACATTCAGTATATATAATTATCTGTATGGT